AAGAGCGATACGTGGCTAGTAAGGAACGATCAAGATAGTCAGCAGCTCCTGCCCACTGTCCAAGTACAGGCACTGGCACCTTTTTCTCTCCTCTGCATCCGCATATACATTTGCAAGAAGCAGCTTTTTCTGCCTAAATGTGCGTTGGTGTGTAGCCGACTCTCGTTCTTATGCCATGAGATCGGACAGAAGTTCATTTCTGTATCTTAATGAAACTTTGCTACCGTGAAATTCTGTGTGAAGTCAGTAAATGACATGTTACTAGGGACCACCTACCAACCAGATATAAATTACCTCTAATCAGTTTTCCCCACTCAGGCACAATGTACCTCGGGGCTATAAACCAGCAACATACTTTTTAGGGGTGTACTATTTTTTCACATGGTATGTATTTAACTCTTTCTATAGCCATTATTATGGGAATGGAGAATCTTGGTGTGAAAGATTTCAAGAACAAAATTCGTGGTGGAGGTGTTATTGATCTTAGTCAAACAACAATTACATTTTGCCGGCTTTTAATCAATTTTGTCGATGATGTAAGAAAGCTGTACATACCAGAGCTTCTTATAAGTATTTTTGAATGCTTTTGTGACATATTCAAGCATATAGTGGATCTTTATGTGGATGCATTTGGTCGAGATGAAAATGTTCCTGTGGGCGACTTCATTACTGCTGATGCTCAATTTGTTGTTGACACATTATTACCAACTGTGGGGAAGATAATGAATGAATGGACATGTGTGCAAATTTCTGACTTCGTTGATTTACACAACAGGTACGACATTATTAGCTTACCGATTATGTGTATGTAATATTACTGTGTTACTTTGTAGTGTATACAAAGTAGTGAATGTGCTACGACACTTCAATTCCTGTATGTCGGAAGGGTGATGAGTGATTTCCCTGTGTGGGGGGGGCTTCATCCCTGGTCTTGATAGGCAAAATGCAACCCCTGTGTCAGCACTCATCCCCCAGGGTTGAGGGCCAATGTCTCGTTCTCCTCTTGGTTCCTCGTCACCTGGCTTTCCATCAGACCCAATGCAGTGGGGAGGTGAGAAACCTCGCTGAAAACCTGCATAGCCATATATCACACAGAGGTCATGTATCCCCAGTTGGGATGTGAGCTTGTGAAATTTCTTTTGTGCATTATATACGTCGTCCCATCCACAGTGCTGGTAGAAGTAATGCAGAAAACAACAGTGCAAAAACAGGCATACATGAAGAAATCGTGACTTGCTTGAAGCAGAAGCCTGGCGTTGTTATAGCAACCAGTAGTGTCACAGTTGCATTTTGTGGGGACTTGAAGTGTGTGTGTTCATGCTTGGTGTACATGATTTTGATTTTGTCCCGTTGTCACAACAAGTTGGCTCGCTCCCACTCGCAAACTATGGCTGCCTTAGTGACTGGAGATTAGACTGCCATAGCACTCCTTAGCTCTTGTAAACACGTTGGTGATCTGCAGTACCACACACAGCCAATAACACAAAAGCTAGTGATTGGGAACAATGCCTACTAGTGATTACCTACGTATCACCTGAGATTGCAGCTAACTTTGAACTCTGCTTGTCTGGTACACACCTGGTCGTAGACAAGCTGACTATTATGTGGTTCACACCCATGTGCATTAACATGTGGTTCTGTTCATGTGGTACTAATTACATACAAGTTTAATGTAAGAATGGTGTAAAAAGCATGGAGACAAGACAAGGATGACCTAGTGCAGTAGTTCAATGGACGATGCCTAAATACCTCAATGACATTATTTCCTTGTGTAGATTTTCCTCCACACAAGCCTTATATTGTTGCCCACTTTCGTAGATTTGTTAAGTGAATGATGTAAAGTCTGAGAGCAAAGGTTAAGGGATCTCTAGACGACCGAATTGTGAAACTGGTTTGTTGAGAATGCATACAAAGCAGTCACAACTGAGGAGCTGTCAGAGAGGGAAACACATGTCATAGCTAAAGAGGAAGCACGGGCTTAATGTCAGTTTAAGTATGTATCATGTCCTACTGCATCTGCACATGCACTTGGTCATCCCTGTCTTCTCTCCTCGCTTTTTATACCATCCCTATTTATTCTCCTTTCCTTTTTTACTGCATTCACATGCCTGGTGTGCAATAACATATTTGGGGCATAGTACGTATATACCCGTGAAAAAGTAGCATTAGTGGCCTATTGTGTGAGGACCCAGTCATAGGCACAAACACCACACATTGCCTGTGGCTGTTGTTGTTTACAAATGTTTTGATGTACTCCCGCCAGCGCATCAATGTGCAAATTTTAATTGCTAGAGGACCCAGCATAAGCAAGTCATAGGCACAGACACATAATTATTACAATGTAGGCACAAACACCATTTACAAGTCATTGCCTAAGGCTGGTTTGTTGTTATTTACATGCTTATACATACACCTGTACGCCTAAACCCATGGGTGTTGTGGGTACTATGAATGTACTCTTGTCGGATGGCTTCTAGGCTACAAAAAGTTTATCACTGTAGGTATTGGCATTTACTAGTTAGCACACTTAATTCTTAATTAGTTTTGTTTACATGTGTGGCGGGAGTACATCAAAACTCTCTCATTTTCTACTTTCTTCTTGTGAAAGTGTGAGCTTTAGTTTTCATGTAATATGCTCTTGCACATGTCATGCATTCTAATATTTGTGAAAAGTTTCACCTCCATATCCTACCTTGTTTTTCATTTACTCTTGTCAACACTGAACAACAACAACAACAGAAGAGTATTTCAAAATTACGATTAGTACTACGTACTTGTGATATATTCACCCACCTTTCAACTAGCCTGTGCATTTCAAATTTGCTACAAGTTAGCATTTGATTATGAACCTACATTATAATATAGGATAGCTCTTTTTGTGTTGTCCTGCCTGTGAAATGCACTTGGCTTGCGTTGACCCCGTGATTAATTCAGATGTGCGGATGTAAATGTTTTTCTGATATTACAGCTTAAAAGAACTCATTAGCCTATTCTTTTTTCACAGTCTCTACGTGTGAGAAAACAAGTGTGTGAGAGAATAGTTTCTCACTGTTATGCACAGTTGCAGCTTTCAATATTGCTCATAGTTGTAGTAGAGCTCATGGAAAAAATGGACATGGTCAACAAGTGGGTAAAGGTTAGAAAAATACGTAATGCTCGGAACTGCACCAGGCCAATTTTGTAGGAGGCAGAACATACACCTCTGCACTTAATGGTGAATAACCATGCATTCTTAGTGAGTCGCACACTGGTTTTCTCTCCCGTAGAGAATGTTTGGAGGAATATGCTGATGATCTTGTAAAACAAGGCTAAATTCCAGGGCTTTCAGCCGTACCCCCACACAATACTGTCGAATCATTTTTGAAGTTGGGCCTCTTTTGTGGTTTAATTACCCTGGTCGGCTTCTACTTATTAAGTGAAGGGTTTCTGTGCCACAGCAAAACTTTTTGGAGTTGGGGTTTGCCTCCTTCTGTTGTGTTGTATTGTATAGAAGACTTTGAGCCAGCCTACATTGGTAGCTATGAGGTGGAGCACCCTGTCTATAAAGCAGTGGTGTGTCATGGGCTCAAGTCTCTCTTAAAAAGGGTCGTCCTGGGTGAATTGATATGCACTTGAACTATATAGCATGCTGCATAGAAAAGGTTTTATACAGTGTAAGCACATTTAGTGCTGCCAAGTTACCTCAGATTAATCTGCACATCTCATTCCCTATTGTATATGCCTGGTACACTTAAGAATGGTCTAAGTCAGAACGAAAGGAAGAAAGGTAGAAAGAAAAATCAGCTCCTACCACCTCTTGCTTCCAAGCAAGTTGTATACCAGTGTGCTACAGATGGTAGGCAGTTGAAATGAGTTATTACCCAACGTGAGAGAGTACTGTGACTCCTACTTAGAGAAGATCATAGGTATATACATGAGTTATGTAAGCACATAAGCGCTGGAACAGATAGCTTTCTTTACTGGAGCACCTCAGACTAATTACAGGCATGCGAACTAGCATGCTGCAAAGAAATGTGTTGAATACTTGTAACTGCCTATATCTCAAATTCTTTTTTCTCTTCTTCGCTATAGTTTGCTTGTTAAAATTCATAAACTAGCGGGAGATGGAGGGAATGACCAAGAACAACAAGATGATGCCGATTCTGAAGACGTTGTGTAAACTAGATTTTTTTATCCATTTGTGTTTTACTTGTCCAACCCATCTTATTATTATGTATATACCATGTTAGATGTTTAGATAAGCGCTCAAGTGCAAACTTTAAAAGTGTCTCTGCCAGAACCAGTGCTATAACTGGAGCGATGATTTTAGCATGTAGTGTAGCTGTAATCACTAAGTACGGTAGCACGTTCTCCTGATTATGCCCATACATTAGAGATTTGTACATTTCACTTTCAATTTCAATCAAACCCCACTTCTGAAATATCCATAGGGTCAAAACAGGTAAGAAATGGCTTCAATCGCATAATCGGTAATTTAAAGAAGCAGTTTTCAAAATTCTTCTTGTCCTTGTTGTTCTTGTTGTTCAGACAAGTGTATCTCAAAAACTAGGTAAGATACAGAATTGAATCCATCACCCAGCGTGCAAGAGCATTTTTATTTGTTTATGTCAACAAAATCACAACAATAATAGCCCTGTATGATAGAGACCAATAAAGTGTGCTTACTAGTTAATGTCAATACCTAAAACGATTAAACTTCGTACACGTATGCAACCCATCATTAGTATTATTACAAGTTAATGAGCATCAACCAACAGCCCCAGGCAATAAAAACTTGTTAACTGTGTTTATCCCTATAACTTGCTTATGGTGGATCCTCTAACAATGAAACTTGGTGCAATGATAAGAGTTCATCAAAACAGATTTGCGAACAACAAACAGCCTCAGGCAATAAAAACTTGTAAATTGCGTTTGCCTATAACTTGCTTATGCTGGGTCCTCTAACAATGAAAGTTGGTACACTTTGGTGGTGAAAGAAGCAGGTGAACTACATACGACAAACTGAGGCAATAAAGACATAGGCCCTTAATTCTACTTTTTATGTGGGCATCATGCGCCAAAGAATATTGCACACCATGCATGTGAATGCAGGAAGAAAAGGAAAGGAGACAGGTAAATTAGAAATTCTTCGAATTAAAAAAGGTGAGGAATATAGGGATGCCATGCAAGGATATAAGACAGGGATGACCTAGTGCATGTGATGCAGTGGTACAATGGAACATAATATTATTTCAAACTGACATTGCTCGCTCATGTACATATTCCGCCACACAAGCCCTATAATTATTGCCGTGAAGCATGGGTGTGCTCCTCATAGAATAACTCATTCCTAAGCACGTTTTGCCCTCTCTGACAGCTCCTCAGTTTTGATTGTGACTGAAGTCTAAGACTTCCATGTTCGCTCAATTAACCAGTTCTACAATGCTGCGCTCTTGGCACTACAGAGAGTACCTTCACTATTGTCTTCACGCTTTACACCATAAACACAAATTCATGTTTTGAGTAAAAGTGGTGACAATATATATAGGGCTTGTGTGGGACGTGAGCAAGCACTGTCAGTTTGATGTGGCCATCATCCATTGTACTACTGCACCACATGCACTGTCTACCTTGCTGCAGTAAACAAAACACTCTAACTTACCGCAACCCCCCCACTAAAGGACACTAAAACTATAATTTGGAGTGTCTATCTGGTTCCACTCCACCTGTTTTTTAGTAACTACCACATGGTATAAATCACAAAACATGGTGAATGTCAGTTGTAGCAATGCAACCAGCTATAACAGAGCTATTCAAAACCAAAAGAACACATTAACACAGTGAGACAGACATACCTTATACTAAGGTCCCATGAATTGGGTCTATATCGTAACACTCTATAAATTGTGTTGATGCAGTTATGTTATCTGCTTGAAATGGTACTTGGTTAGTGTTCACTATAGAAGTACTGGACAATTCTGTTATACATCCTTCACCATTACTTGTTCTGCTCTCAATACATTGTTCAATTGCAGGTGTCAACTCCCTTTGTTGACATCTTAGTTTGTGAAATAGTAGGGTTAAATAATTGCGGAAATGGCTTCGAGAAAGTGTTTGAATGATCGGATTAATTGCAACACTAGACACAATTATCAAGAAATCAATAACGAAAACGGTTGATGGAATATTTCTGTACTCCACAAAGAATCCAACAAATGCTGTGATGATTCCAGGAGTAAAGCACACTGCTTGAGATATCAGCAAAAGTACGAACGTCCTTGTTAGTGTTCTCTGTACGCGTTGATTTTTTACAGTAGTCATATCAATAGACATTTGACGGATGTGCCTCCTGTTTAAAAACCGTTTTACATGTATGTATGTCCAGAGTGTAAATACTACAGTAGCAATAATTGGTAGCATTGCCTCTGCAGCTACAGTTATGACGTAGGGACGTTCACCTTCCCACCTGAATACGCACACACCAACGACTGGGGAGTAACCCAGTCTACCGAAGCCAAAGAATGGCAAGGAAGCAAGAATAAGAGGAACAATAGAAACCAAGGACACCAGGCACACAGCCTTGGGAAGACTCATCCACTGTCGGTACTTCAGAGGGTGTACAATGAACAAATATCTGTCAAATGCTATCACTGCCAGTAAATGAACTGTCATAAACAAAAACATACAAAAAAGAAAAGCAACTGCAATGCACACCCCTTCCCTGATGGTGTCAGTACTCCCAAATATCCAACCACCACCAATAATGGCAGCTACATAGAAAGGAATTGCTAAAATTGTTTGTAAAACATCAACAACGGCAAACAGGAACAGAAAAAGTGATGATGGCTCCTGCAAAAGATACCTATCTTTCATAAATACCGAAATTACGAAGGTATTCCAACAAAAAGCCAGGAAGAATATCACGATGTAGGAAAAGGCGAGAATGACGACGAGTGCAATACTGTAGGGAACTTCGGGCTCCCAAAGACATTCGTTCAAGACGGAAGAGTTACAAACACAGGATTCATTGGTGCTCACGCTTTCGCAGATGGACGATCCAGCCATTGTGTTACATACAGGGTAAGGACTGCGTGTCGCACTGCAGGAATGGGGGTCGTCACTCGCGCATCCCTGTATAGCAGCGTGTAGTCTCTCAGACCAAGACTCCTCCCCTTTAAATTAAATGAGGACAGGTTTCTCCGCGCCGGAATGCAGGCGCGCATTCTCACACTGGTCGATCTCTCCCCCCGCCCCCCGGCCCCCCACAGAGAGGCAGCGTGCGCGGGTAAGCGCCAAGAATTATAATATTACGGTCACGGGGGGGTCAGTGGCGCGTTGCTCTCAGTCAGGAATCAAGGCAGAGAACAGCGTGAAGTCATCGAAGCCTTTATCAGTGGGAATAACGTTTTTGTGGCGCTGGGGTATGCCAAAGCCTGTGCTTCGCTGTAGTCTTCGGCATGTTCGGAAAATCGCCTACGTCGATAGTCGTCTGTATTTCTCCGTTAGTCGCCTATGACCGACCAAAAAGTCCAGTTTTCACAAAGGCCTTGTTACGTAGTTCGTGGGAGACAATCAACAAGAGAATTGGTTGCGGTTAACTAATTGAAATTCCATATGTTTATGCGGCCAGCGGCGTGCGCATTCAAATTGAAAGGGGGGTATGGGAACAAAACTAGCTTGGGTCGCCGCCGTTTGATGGACACAGCACCGGCACTCGTCCGTTCTGGCGTGACTGGGTGATGGTTGGTGTCTGAAGAACGAGCGCTCCGTGCTTTCTTGTTGGCGTAATGTATCGCTCGATCCCCCGCTACTGGATGGTTTCAGTCATATGCTTGCTTATGGTTACTACACTCTGTGTGGAGTATATTCAGGTCGTGCGGAGAGCGTACTCCCCAGCGGTCCGTAGAGGTATGTTAATCATAAATATTGGGCACGTGGAAGAGCGTGCTGCTTATCCCACCAGCGCCTCTTGAGTTGTCTATCTCTGTGGACAATATCTTGTTTTGTTTTGCCTTTTTTCTGGTTTGTATTATTCCCGTGTCACGTAAAAAAAAATCTCTGTGGGCAGCGGAAAATGCACGCATGTCAAGTCAAGAGACGAACCACTCTGTTGTTTGCTTGAATCACTAGCCAGAGTAACCTGTAACCTAAAATTATATACCCGTGGCACACTGTGTTGTATGTGCCAAATCCTGACACAGGCTGCTACAGCAGTAGATAGTGTTTTAGTAAATGCGAAAGTTTAGAGAATGCTGCTGATGCCTCCAATTCTCCCTTATTGGTGTTGAGGTAATTGTAACATGTATCTTACCATACACAGAGTTGCTGTGGATGATGAAACGTGTTGTAAGGGTCAAAGGTTAAAATTATCCCTCCATCCATGTTGTGCACTATCCTTGCAGAGCCACGCCTTCTCAATCTGCGTGCGGGAGAAAAAAGCCTGGTGAACTGCCATACATTGACTTGTTCCCTATTGCAGGAAATCCTGCAACACCAATCAGATTGCAAGATTTTGCCACATCACGTAAATTGCCCACACACTTTTTTGGTTGTTGTGCAGAACGTGATTGGTTCACGCTGTTTTCTTGCTGTGTTTGACTTGAATCTTCTACTGCACTTGGGTCTTTTTCCCCAGTAAGGAATGCGCCCGGTTGCCTAACCCCAGTTACAGACAGTGTGGCGTTGGCTGAACTCTGAGGGCACTGTGTCACTAGCTAGACCCTTCCCATACAAGCTCTCTCTGGCGCCGGCTGTGGGTAGGACTCCGTGTCAAAGAGACTCTACAGTGCCTCTCGGTACACTGTGGAGTCTTTGGCACTGGCAGAAACCTAGACTGAGACTATCGTGTGGTGTATGTGCTACACGTACACTCCCGCATAATTATTACACAATGTTACAATATTGCGGTTCATGACAAAATATTCCCGAGGAACAAGTGGCTTATAGGCAGTTCACCAAGCCTTCTCCTCTTCTGAGAAGGCGAGGCTAGTCCTACACTGCCACAGCATATCCTCATAATGATGAAATAGATTATCCCTGTCCAGCAGGTTGTGGCAGTACCTCACAGCATGCATGTAAATACAAGTGCAAACCCTTGGCGAACTGCGCGTGCCTGGTACCGCAAATTGATGTGCTGGGCTATTAGTATGCGTTTACTTGTGGTCTCCCGCTAGTAGCCTGACACGGGCTGATACAGCAGTAGATAGCATGCGGGAGTCGATACACACAGCGGACCCACTCGAGGTAAGCCTGTTCTAATTAGCATATTGGCTTTTCCCCTCGTGTTTCATGCCATAACTCTCGAATGCAGCAGTTTCAGAGAAAATCCTACATACTTTTCAACCTTTAACCGACACAGAATACGTGGTATTGTTTGTTGAGCGATTGATGGCTCGTGAAGTGATTGATGAAGTGGAGCAGACAACACAACGACAACTATAGTTACCCTCGCTGCACATGCGTGCCGAGGGTTAAAGATAGGGAACAAGTAATCAAAGAAGGTATTAAGAGTATTGCGACAAGGCAGGTATGACTGATCCAACCATATATTATAGCCGTACAGTTAGTGAGGGCTACATACACAGAGGGTCTGAAATGTTCAAAAGGTTGACTAATCAGGATCACGTGTGCCATAAAAGATGTTTAGCAATTGTTTTCACCACTGTACCTCGCTACTTTCTTCTTGGTGGTGGGTTCAATAGTAGTACAAGTAAATTAAGAATTTAAAAAAGAGGCATATAGAGATGGTAGAGACAAGATAGGGATGGGATACATGAAGCACGGTTAATGAACAGATTTGAGCACGCTGATACCCCCGATCGCATCACACAATCCCTATATTGTTGCCTGGTGTGCCATCGTAAACTCCTTGGTTATTCAGTAGCATGACTTTGCTGTAAGTCCTGACCATTGTAATGTTGAAGGTTTAATACTTCACCTAGACAACAATAATTATGGGGATTGTGTGATGAGATCGTGGGTGTCAGCATGCTCAAATCATTTCATTAACCATACTTCAAGTATCCCATCACTATTTTGTCTCCGTTTCTTTTTATACCATCCCTGTCTGCCTGTTGATTGTTAATTTTTGAGTTATGGGTGTTGAATCTGATATCCCTATCATTGCCCCGTACATCCATGATGCTAGGTACCATGCCCATCCCTATTTTCTAAGTACTACCATACTTAGTGATAAACAGGCTATCGATGCAAAACTTGTCCAAGCTGTGAGTAGAAATCGCCTGGTTCCATCTTTTGCACCTACACTCATACTGGCGAGTCAGTGAGAGCTTAAACCTCACCGAAGACTAGTAGCTTGTCACGTGCACTCTCGCCATACGTGAGCTGCTTGGCTAGATGGTGATCACAAGGTGAGAGACAGGCTCAAAGCAGACACACAAAACTGTATATTGAAAAAAGAAAATCAATGTATCAGCTATTTTAATCAACATTACACATCATGTTTTGCAGGATACATCTCCTACTTCGTAAAATTCTGTTCAACTTGTCGAAAATTAACAGAAAAAACCAAGGTTTCATAATGTTACTTTTGTTAGCTAACTAGGTTCATATCACAAATTAGGAACCTCGTAGTAACGTCAATTTGAATTAGCTAGGCACTAAACTATGATATATAGCTACCAATAAAATTGTGATGCCGGTACTTAGATTGTATAAGTATCCACATGTATACATCAACAAACAGCCTCACGGATCAGGCTGTAAACGGTGTTCGTGGCTATAACTTGGTACTCTAACAATGAAAGTTGGTTGACTAATGTATTATGTATAGTGAAGAAACATGAGAAGGATCGAGTGAAAAACTGATATCGACAGCAACTACATGACGTGACCAATTAGTGGTTATGTTTGCTCGTGCGTATTGCATACATATCCAAATAACTTTGAAGAGATTTTGTAAAGGACGAAGAACACAGTATTGTATATACAACTGGTTAGTTGAGTGAACATGTTTTAGACTGCACACAATGCGGTTACAACGCATAACGGAGGAGCTGTCTCATGTTCTTCGGAAATGAAATATAGCTACACAGGAGGGAGTACACTTATGCTTCACGACAATATTATAAGGCTTGTGTGTAGGACATCATGAGCAGGCAATGTCAGTTTGAAGTGTACTACTGCATACTGCAAGCGAAGCGAGTTTACCTAGTCATTTCTATATATTATATATTGTATGTGACAACACTACCGTAATGTTCTATGTGATACTAAGTACACGCAAAACACGTGCGAAATATGGAACTGCTGCTGCATGGCATTCGTTCTCCGATGACAAAAACAAGCACTGTTGGACCTACTGTAATGTTTTATGTAAATAGATCAAATCGTGAGTTCCACATGTGACTCTTGATGTTGGCTCACCAATGAGGTGTTGCATTTATTTTACCTCCTGGTTTCTGCAGGTTCTCTAGTGTATCCTGTATTGAAAAACTTGTCTCCCTTGGCCGATGCTTTTCATTCTCAACACCAAAATGTAGTCAGTTCCTTGTTGACTCAACTCCATTCTCAAAGATCATACTCGAAGAATCAACTAACTACTACTGAAGAATTTCACATATCAGAAGAAAACAAGCCAAGCGTAGTCCTCTCAGGTGGCACCAATAACTCTGGATCTGAGTATCATGTAAAACTACAGGAATTAGGCACTCTCAATCTATCTTATAATAAAGGATCGAGTAACCAAAGGTGGTATCCTAACCGCAAAGTTGTTCATGATTCTTCTGTTGTATCAAAACTGAAAGAGAAAGACAAACGCTGGCACAAGATGCAGAGGTTTCACGCTCAAAACAGAGGTGCAGGCTTATCTGCTGGTCTATTGCAGTTGGCTGGGCTTCAACTTCCACATAGCCTAAGTCTTCACGAGAGAGGATTTCCAGATTGGCATAATACATCATTCGTACAAACTCCTATGTTAACCCTTCAAAAGGTAGTCAACCAAAGCAAGGGAACATCCATGGAAAGCGTAGTTTCTTTCAGCTTAAACCCAGATATTGTTTTGAGAGGAGAGGTACGTAAGTACATTGTAATATTCTTTTAACAATCTGCCTTTCTAATGTTTTTAGTGTTGGAGACGCCTTTCTTCAACTGATTAGTATTTAAATGTGTTTTTTAAGCTCTGAAGTTCTGATTGGTTTTTGTTTACTGAAGCATGGCAAGCAGCACATCTACCTTGATAAACCACATACGTTTGGTAAAAAAATAACCTTGTTACTTCATTTAAGACTAAGTTTTAAGCCACGAAATTTGTTGTTGGTTACCCCAACAAAAAAATACTGCCTGATAAATTAGTAAAAGGGAAGGTGAATTGTGCGTTATAGGTTATACGTAAGTATAGATAGTTGCAGTGTTTATGAAATTTCTGTACATGCTTTTTACGAATGTTGTTTGATTATGTGTACTGTTCAAGTAGTTGTGTCCAAACTAAAGATGAATTGGGTTTGTTAGGAGAAGAGTGGAATGATTTCAAACAGAACTTCTTTGTTGGGTAGTGTTGTCGTCAAATTACCCCCAAGTAAACAATGCTGGACCTGCTACATGCCCCATCACTTCCAATTTGTATTATTGTTTGTATGCGTAAAGATTTTATGTTATTTTGTATTCAGTTTCAGAAAAAACAAATGGAGAAATATTGCCTTGGAAATGGGAACATCATTGGTAATTTGCCTTCTACTCCACAATCGCTGACAAAGTTATTTACACATCTACTTTATGATGATTCTAAAAGAATTGTATTTTGCTATGTTCCTAAGAATGGCTGCTCGAATATGAAGAGACTATTGCTGATTTTAAACGGGCTGTTACCACCTGAAGCATCTAAGCAGAGTAGACCATCAGAAATGCTCCTTAAAAAGGTTGGTTAGGAATGAAGCTATCATCTGCATCCCTTATTGCACACGCACACATGTGTAGTGAGGGTTAAAATACTTAGTTTGGTTGACACACATGTTCAGTGAGAGTAGTCCTCAGTGTGTTTGTCTGCATGTCTATCTTCGTCTATACCCACGTTTCCTGCCCAGTGCAACAAGCAACCCAATAAATAATACGGTTCAGAGTGAGGATAAAGTGTTTAATTCAGAATGAGAGTAAAGTGCTGCTTTATGACTATGACTAATCTTGACTAAATTTCTCCATGCCACCTGCTAAATGTAGCTTGCCCGTCTTATAGCGAGAATGGCACGAGTGTCTTTGCATTAAAGAGTTGTTGTGGGTGTACGTAGTTGTGTTGCTTTGCCTTTGGAGTGTACAACCTATGGTTTAGGACCTATGGGTGAGGGTGTGATAATGCGTTTATGGCACATCACATGACCATACACAAATTAAAAGCACTAAAGTGCAAACCCTCGGCGCTAAACACGCGAGTTGTAGCATCGCTGTATGCTGGGCCGTGCGTCATCAACGGAGCCAGTAACACGAGTCTCGCCCTAGTTGCATTAGCGGTTAGAGCAATTACTGAGGTGTTTCAGAGGCTCTCATATTTGCTTTAATCAATCTATCCGCTCTTCTGTGTTTCAATGCTCTCTTTTATAAATGGAAAGGCAAGGCCACAACCACTAACTGCTCGCCACCTGAACTATTATGCTAGATTGCGAACATACCTTGCTCAACATGTTTATCCATTGAAAACAAACAGAACAGAGATCAAAACTGACAGAAGTCCGTGGATCCTACAACCAACGTGGTGTAGCGCATGCTCTGGCGAATAATTGACATGACGCGTGCGCGCTATATAGCCTGCCAGAGAGGGCGCGTGCGCAATTGACCGCACGTTGGCTTTTTCGCTTGTATTCACGCCATTATCTTTGGAACGCAGTCGTTTCAGGAAAATCGCCACGTTCATATCCATCTTCTCGTTGTTCACAAACTGCTGGTTCCACTCATTGGCCACCTCGTAGCCTGCAGTACGAGAACTTGCGCGGACAGACAGACAGACCAAGTACCGTAACCCTCGCTGCGCATGCGCGCCGAGGGTTAAACTACTATAGGGAGGTAATACGGGGGCAATTATGGCTATACACTTATTGCCGTATGTGGACGATGACAACAGCACTGTTGGAGTAACTCTAGATGTGACCTGCTATGGGAAAAGGGACCATTCGTTTTATGCCATTACTTTCAAGCTACAGCCCAAAAGTTTCACTTTGGGCTTTTTCAAACATCAAAGAAGCGAAAAATGAAAAATACAATTGTTTAGCTAAATTTTGCCCCAAAACTAACTCTGTGCCAGAGATAAAAGTTCTGACCGTGCACTCTTTTGGTCATAACTACACAATGGGTATGTGTAATCTGAAAAGTTTGCATATCAGCATGTAGAGCAGGTCCCTTTCCCCATAGCAGATAAGGGAATTGATAATTGTGACCCGCTCTGGGAAAAGGTATATATACCTTTGCCGCAAAAATTCAAAAAATTGCGTTACGCATAATCGTTCGAAAGCGCAACGCAAGCTGCATACAACGAAGAAAACCGTACCTTCATAGCTGCTTCAGTTCGAGCGCTATACGCAATAACGATCGCACCCTGCCGCGGGCGTTATTTCGAATAATTGCGTGCGGAAATTTTATGATGGAATACACGTGGAGGCAACGCCCACAACTACAAAGGGACGCTGCTAGCCCTACGAGCGGTAGATCGACTTCGTTCCAACACGAAAAGGTAGACGCTAGGTTATAGTTTTCATCTGTGTCATAAAGTATGTTTGCCAAAACCATCGAGTTTTTTGCTATATAAGCGCATAGCGGAAGATCTATATTTGCGCCGAATGGTACCTTTTCCCAGAGCGGGTGAATATATTATATTATTATGTTTGACTTTCATATTCATTCATTATAAGATAATGCATGTGCGCCCAGTATTTTTGCATCGTCATTATATGATATCCAGCTACGGGTAATGTGAGGAGAATCATGTCGTGTTTTGTTCACGGATAAAAGAAGCAGCTTTTCATACCTTCACAATTTACTGAGTAAATGAAGATGCTTGGTGAAGAACCTATGTGTTTCATCCTTGGTGTTTGTTTTTGTTTTGTTCCCTTTAGGTTAATTCCTTTCGAAATCTAACAGCACAGCAGGCCATTTACAAGCTGAAAAATTACTACAAATTTGCCATTGTTCGAAACCCTTTGGAACGACTCTTGTCAGCTTACAGAAATAAACTTGAGTACCCTGTAGTGTATGGTGAGCGCAAGCATTTTCCATCTAATTTGCAGCTCTTTATCATGTCACTTTTTCGACCACGCCAGATTCAAGTGTGGTTAGAATCTCTTCCAGAAAAGAGGCATACTATTTTTCCTTCTTTTAAGGAATTTGTTACATACATGAAAATGTTCCCTCTTGGTGACTACAATGAACACTTTGCTCCGTTTTATGAACTCTGTCAGCCTTGTTCAGTGAACTATGACTTTTATGGTAATTTTAAAATTATGGATTATGATATTACTTCCGTTCTGGAGTACCTCTCGATTCCTTTGTCATACTATCCAGCGTTTGTTCGTTCAAAAAATACAATGGAACTAGTGAATGAATACTATAGGCTGATACCATGGAGAGAAAAGACTGCACTATTCAATGCTTTTCGAAAAGATTTAAACTTGTATTACTCACTCTATCCTGAAGAGACTGGTGCTCACAAACAGTTACTCATTGAGAGCGAAGATTTGTGATTGTATGTGTAAATGTATGGATATTTATTTTTGTGAGATTTTAAATTTGGATATTATGTATATGGGGTGGTGCAAGGCTAGTAATTACTTGGAAACCTCTTCATCCTCTCTTCACTGGCACTGTTTCCGTTGTGTGTATATACATGATCCATGTTATAATTAACCCTCGGTGTGCATGCGCAGCAAGAGTTACAGTACTTGGTTCGTAAGTGTGTCTGTCCATCTGTTACCACGTTTTCTGCCACTACGTGCAACAAAGAGGTAAAAAAGCGACACCAACGGGTTCAGCGGTACGCTGGCATAACAAAGCCAATATGCAAATCAGCACAGCCTCGACCAGGTCTGCTTGCTCTGTGTACTTTGGAGGCACAAGAAGTCACAACGAATGGCGTATATCGACTCCCGCATGCTATATACTACTGTAGCTATCCCGTGTCAGACTCTCCGCGAGCTACTCTAGCGTGAGACCATGAATAAACGCATACTAATAACCCAGCCCATCAATTAGCAGTATCACGCATGCGCAGTTCGCCAGGGGTTTGCACTTCGGTGCTTTTCATTTTTCCTTGTATGTGAAAGAGGGAGATTCTTTTTCAGCAGATTAGCGTCACTCCCCTGCAAAAGAGCCACTGAAAGGCTCTTGTCACATTTTTCTTTGCAAAGGGTATGTATGAACCATAGATTTTCAAACTGAAGGGGTGTGAGACTAAGTTGCTGAAAAAGGATCTTTCACATACAAGGGGACATCATCTCCATGCTTCCACTCGCAACATAAAAAGGTTGGCTTGGCCAGAGCTCCATAAGGCCCTGCATGGTATATACCCCGAACACAATCCCATATGCCATTCCAGCTCGCTATCCCATCATGAGTAGCCGTGACTAAAGCAAATTGGGGGTGAGACCATTGAGTATGCATAATTATGTGGGATTCTCGTGCTGATAGCTGGTACCAATCTGAGATTGTCATTGGTGTATGAGGCTAATCTCGTAGACATTTTCGGACCCAAAGAGTTTGAAACACCTGAACTGAGACAATCGTTTTTTCAGCAATTTTGCCAGGAAGATTTGTGGCTTCGGATTAGAATCTTGGCTTTAACAGAGGGCCAATGCAATCAGGTGAGAGCATTGGCGTGGTATAATACTTCGAACTTCCCAAAATTCACAAACCCGGTAATCCAGGTAGACCTATTGTGGCATCCAACAATGCTCCGACACAGTTCGTAGACTACCATTTTGCCCTTTGGTAGAAAAAATTCCTTCCTTTCTCAAAGACACAACCCATTTTCTTCAAAAACTGAATAACATCACTACACTTCCAGCCAATACCTACCTAGTAACCTTGGACATGTCTTCACAAACATCCCTCATGATGAAGGCATAGCTGCATGCAAGGCAGCACTACTGTCAAGAAGTACTCAAGAACTGCCAACTGATGATCTAATAACTACATTCTCACAGAGAACAACTTCGTTTTCGGAGAAAAACTTACCTCCAAGTCAGTGGCACAGCAATGGGTACTCGCATGTCTCCTTCCTATGCGAAACTGTTTATGGCAAAACTCGAGGAGTCATTCCTTTGCAGAGAGTCCACTCTCAAGCCGTATGTCTTGTGGCGTTACATCGGCGACATTTTTGTCATAATATGTCAACACGGAGAAGAAAACCTTAGAGTAGTCATGGACGACCTTAACTCCTTTCGTCCATCAAGTTCACTGCCAAGTGGTCGCCAAATTCTATCCCCTTCCTCAACACTTGTATTGTCTTGCAGGATGGCTCGCTCTCAGTGGATCTATACACCAAACCTACTGATACACATCAGTACCTTGCAGCAAACAGCTGCCATCCACGCCACTGTAAATCATCAATTCCACTCAGCCAAGCCTTGAGAATCCGCTCAACAGACGAGAACTTTAATGTCAACAAGCTACAACACCACCTCCTACGTAGAGAATACAAGAAACCCCTTTTATGTGGGCAGATAAACCATGTCCGTGATGTCAGCCTGGAAGGTTTGCTCACACCTCGTCCAAAAAGGAATGGATTCCTCTAATCACTGCATTCCATCCCAACCTTCCAAGCCTGCATATGATCACTAGGTCTCTCCTTCCAGTACTACATGTGTCATCACACCTTTATAATGCCATTCCTGAACCACCAGTTATTGGTTTCAAGCGTCCAAAAAACCTTCGTGACCTATTAGTTAGTGCACAGCTAAAACCCACAGAATTTGATCCTGCCCGAGGGACTACTGCGTGTGGTAGCTCCAGATGCCTGACCTGTCAACATGTGAAAACAGAGATCTTGGTGCAAAGCACATCAACGGGTCAGTCCTTCAAAGTCTGGGCCACTACCACCTGCAAAACTGGAAACGTCATCTATTCGATCCAGTACAACCTTTGCCAGTATAATTATATGTGGGTGAGACAAAAAATCCTCTCCATATTCGCCTGAATGCCCATCGCCATGACATCCGACATAAGAAAAATGACAAACCTGTTGGAGCTCACTTTTCAGGTCCTTTTCACTCACCCCAAGACCTCAAAATCATGGTATTGGAGAAGATGAGGAGTCAGGGCGATCTCATGAGAAAATATCAAGAAAGCTTTTGGCAGGATTCAACCTCGAACCATGAATGTTCCCACAATCCATCTCTCATTTTTCCTTTTTCCTTTTTTTATCCTTTATTATTGGCGAGCGGGAGCGAGCTAACCTAGTGGTACGAACGGCGCGATTTTTCTATTATTGGCGAGAGGGAGCGAGCCAACCTAGTCGTCCGTTCGAGCGGAATTTTCTGTGTATATATATAATATATATATATATATATATATATATGCGTTCGTACGTCGTGTAAGTGCGCATGCGCGTATTTGTACGCGCTTCTTTTTATCCGAAATTATTTCAACTCTCCTCCATTCGACCATCGGTGACTAACGGACCGAAGCTGTACCTCTTCCCAATCTCAAGGTGTAACTTGCATAATACGCTAGGGCACATACTGCTGCATGCCAGTTGCCAGGTGGACCACGACTGACGAGCGAAAGCGTAAGGTAAGTACCGTTCTGCTCACCTGCTCACCGTTCTGGCAATATACAGTACGCATGTAACGGCGGCAGGTAGATCTGTCTTGCTTCACGAAAGGAAAGCTGTGCGCGTTATGCAGCCCGAACATCGCGGTGAAATCCCAAGTTGGGTCGCTCCCGCTCGCCAACAATGTTCAACATTTCCACTAGTATAATTATATATATCTACGACCGTCGTACGTCGTGTAAGTGCGCATGCGCGTCTTTGTATGCGCTTCTTTTTAAGCGATCAACCGGGCAAATCCCAAGTTGGGTCGCTCCCGCTCGCCAACAATGTTCAACATTTGCATGCGCTGCAACCTTCGCTGACTGACCGAGGCTGTACCTCTTCCCAATCTCCATGGTTCCAAGCTGCAACTTGCAAATACGCTAGGATTGCTCGTGCACATACTGCTGCATGCCAGCTGCCTGGTAGACCACGCCGCGTTGTCGGGCAACCCGATCAATCGCTGCCTAGCCTACTGCCATGCCAGCTGCCTGGTGGACCACGACAGACGAGCTGAAAGCCTAAGGTAAGGACCGTTCTGCCAATATACAGTACGCATGTAAACGGCGACAGATAGCTCTGTCTTGCTTCACGAAAGGAAAGCTGTGCGCTGGCAGCACGTTATGCAGCCCGAACATCGCGGACAAATCCCAAGTTGGGTCGCTCCCGCTCGCCAACAATGTTCAACATTTCCACTAGTATTTTTCGTTTTGGTTTTGAGCATTTAGTCCCGACACCGTGGCCGCCCCCAACTAATCGATTAGTGGTGCGCATGCGTGTATTAGACGCGAGCCGTGATCGATCGCACTACTGCATGCTGGGCTTACCGTACCGCGACCTGATTCGCTCGCTCTGTGTATATACCTTGGGGTCTCCGGAAGTCACAACGAATGGCATGTATCAACTCCCGTATGCTATCTACTACTGTAGCTAGCCCGTGTCAGACTTTCCGCGAAGTATATACTAGGGGGAGACCACGAGTACAAATAGCCCAGCCCATCAATTAGCAGTACCGCGCACGCGCAGTTCGCTGGGGGTTTGCGCGCACGGCGGTTACACAGGGCGTGGCTCTAAATGCGCACGCGCGCACACGTACGTGTACGTACGTACACTACTATATAGTGTGCCGGAGAGAGGGGGAGGGGCTGGGAGATAGAAGATGTGCGAAGGCCGGGAAAACTTCAAAGTTGCCGTAAGGGTGAGGCCCAGACTTCCTAACGAAGTGCCATCAGGATTTTTACAGGTCAAATCTTTTGATATGTGTATAATTTACCGGACTTGTGAACGGTAAAAGTATTTACAGTGTGTGGAGGCGGATCTTGTTCACAACACGGTCGTAGCTAACAAACCAATTCTAAAGAAAGCGTCATCGAGGATAGGTATCGACGATTTTGGTGAATTCGTACGACCAGAACCAAGCCAGACACAGAGTTTCACCTATGACGTAGTCCTGGGCAAAGAGTAAGAAAATTTCTCTGAGGGTGATTATGATGTGTTAGGAATACCTTGCAGTTCTTCTCAGCAAGACGTTTTTCTGAGGTGTGCCAGTGATATTGTCAAGTCAGTCATAAATGGGTACAATGGAAGCATCATTGCCAGTGGGCAAACTAGTACGTTACAAAAACCTCTGAGTCTTTACAAACATCTCCATATACCCCCAATGATTACAGGTTCTGGAAAGACATACACCATTGCAGGTACCAAAGAGGAACCAGGAATAATTCCTAGAGCTGCGCAGATCATATTTTCTCGTATCTGAATCTATCTGTGTGTGTTTTACCTATCATTGGCTAGGCAATTGAGTAAGCATCGTAAGTGAAGGTCTGCAGCACAACAGGAATTGATCTACTTGACTAGTCCTGGTTATCTCACCTAGAATTTGCGGATTTACTATGACTAGAGCTGATGCTAGGGCCCTTGTGGCAATGACTAACTGCAAGCCCAACCAGTCATCTCACTGCACAATCACCATAATGTTCTGCAATTTTGCACTGTGTAGGTTTAGTTCATTTGTTCATTCTGTCATTGAATTCATCATGTAAGAGAGAGGCTAGGTTAATAAGATAAAAAGTGGTACAGTCAGTTATGGTTAGTAATTATGTGAAAGTGCTGTTACAAGGGACGTAAGTGGGACCTAAAAACTGGGCGCTTTGGGTCCTTAAAATGTTTTCCTTAACATCTTGAATAGAAATTGGATCTTATTCAAATCCGGCTGGCCAGTATCTTGTCCGCACATCCTACCTTCAAATTTACAATGAAAAAATATCTGACCTGCTGGTGAGTAATTTCGTTAAGTTTCTACACTTGTGGTCGCTATCAAATTAAAGCCACCCTCGTTATAAAACAACAAATAAAGCATAGGTGTGGCAAGTATGATAAGTGAAGAAGTAATTATGCCCGAGGCTATTTGTTGTTTGCAAACGTGTTATCAAATTACATTGCTTCGCTCATTACCTCACGTATGATTCATGTCATAGGAATTATGTAATACACATGTGCACCAAGTTTTATCTCCATGTGTTGAGAGCTTGAGGACAGAAAAAGTAATTTTAAAGAAAAGCACCTGAGGCTATTTTTTACAACCTGTTAGCAAACGTATGTCATGGAAATGGTCTGAAGCTTTTCCATGCATGCTACTGGTAGCAAGGTTGAGGAATAAAGATTTGTCTGAGGCCTTTTTTAATATTCATGTGATATTATACCAAGCATGTACACTACCTTTAGCAAGTTTGAAGAGTAAAGAAGTAGTTTTAAATATGTAAAAACTTTGATGAGAGGATCCCAACTAGTGCATTCACTGCGTGGGACCGGTGCACAATGACAGGGTCACATGCGGCATGGAGTCACGGGGGTAGACTTCCTCGTGCAACAAGTGCAAAACTCCTCCTCGGGCATCGGAAAGACGAGTCCAAGCTAACGAGGGACGTCGACTGGGAAGTTTGTAAACGGCAACAAGCATAAAGCTTGCCTATAAATTGCTTAGTATGCTGTGTCCAAAAATGAATCTACTTACCAGTACTATAATTATTGGAACAGGCACAAACACACAATTTTTAAAATTGAAAATGGTGTTTGTGATTACAACCAAAACTGAGAGGTGCTCCGAAAGGGCAACACGTGTGGATTGTGTGATTAGGCATAGCTGCACATTATACGAGAGAGCACACTCATGACACCATAGGGCTTCTGTGAAGAAAAGTTTACACAAGCAAGCAATTGAGCGTTTATTTCTAGAACTATGTACTACATCTCTTGTCTCCTTTCTTACCCTGTATTCGCCACACAAGCATGAAAATGCCCAAGCTATATATTGAATTTGAAGTATCTTATGAGTATGTACCGTTTCATATAATCATATGTGAGATGAAAAAGGCATCTACCATTTCATTAATTATTGCTGAGAGACTTAACCCATGACAGTAGATCTACTTTTTCCCTATGACTTGACATTCATTCCAACATGCTGTCACCCCAAGGAACCCAGTAGAGAGAATCTAAAAATAAGAGAAGATGGTTGTGGCGGAGTCTTTGTTGAAACCCTGTCCGAACATGTTGTTCGAGATGCAGAAGAGATTATGGCGTTGATCAAACGTGGTACTCGTCTCAGAGCAACCAATGTAACTAGGATGAACAAGGTATATAAAGGTGTACTGACTGTTTAGTGGGAAACTTGGAAGATTTCCTATTTGTATGTTAAACTATTCTCGGTGAGAGTTTGTGGGTAGAGGTATTGTGAACTGTGAGTGGTTATTTGTGAAGTTTGCCGTTTGCTAACAAAATGTGATATTTTGCCAAAAATGCTGCACTGTATAATGGTACCTAAATTTTTCAGGAAAGCAGTCGGAGCCATGCTGTGTTTACCATCATTATTGAGCATGGCAAAGATGACGGGCATGGTGGGATGGCTGTAACTATTGGAAAGTTGAGACTAGTTGATCTTGCTGGATCTGAAAGGTTTTTTTACACCATTGTCAAGCTCATTAGGAATGTGGTGTTTAGAGAAGGTACATGCAATGATGAATTTTGCACAGCAAACATAATTCAGATACTCCACAAATAATTTACCGAAGGTGAAGCAAAGGCACCCAGCATAGCTAAACCCAATTATTGCCCAGGGTAGTAGAATTAGAACCCACGGCAATATGGGGACTACTCTACATTGTGAGCCACCAGGGTAAATTACTAAACACAAATATGCTTGTGTCACCAGACAACACAAGCTCAAAACAATGTAGAAGATGCCTATTAACCAACAAGTTAGGTTCTAGTTGTCCTTAACCATGTCCAACAGACAATTATATTCTGACCAAAACAATATCCCATGTGGATACTATGATGTTTTCACTACTGTATACAATTAGCCTTTATCCTAGTCCAGGACTCTTTACAATAAACTTTCAATCTGCAGAGAAGAAGCTCAGTCCTATCTTTAGTAAAATTAGCCCTTATGCACTGACACATTGCACTACAATGGCCGTAAATTCTGTTAATTTATGTGTAGCTAGAGCCCAAAGTCATCTGGATTTTTGCTGTTCTAATTACGTAAGACATTCATCTAGTTGCTGGTATGACAGTAAAGAGCTCCACAGCAGTAATATTATAGCGATGGTATAAAAAGCATGGGGACAAGACTGCTAGTTATAACCAAGTCCATGTGGTGCAGTAGTACATTTATGTGTGGCTAGGGCTATACATACTTATCATTGACATTGCTTGCTTGTGTAAAGTTTCCTCCAAACAAGCCCTATATTGTCGCAAAGCATGAACCTGCTTCCTATTTTAATGTAATGCCCACCTCCTATGACAGCTCCTCGGTTTTCAGTTGTGAATGACTGCATTGTGTGCAGTCTAACTTGTATGTTCTTTTATTTCTATTCTTTTCTTCGAGTGTGTATGCAAATCTCAATGCTTAACTAACCAGTTTTAAAATGTTGTCTTCTAGTTTTTCTATAGAACCAAGTTATAGGCACAAACATCATTCTTCTGTAAATGAGGCTGTTTGGTGTTGTTTATATACAAACTTGTACATTTGGGTATATACTAACCATTGGTTGCATTTGTGCATTCTAAGTGTTAGCATTAACTAGCTATCACTCTTAGTGTATGGACTGGGGCTGCGTATGTTTATTGTTTTTGTTGTTTACTTGTAAACATTTTGCACACTTTCATCTCCGTATCTTTCCTGCTTTTAGTGATACATTTGTCAGAACTGAACAATGACCGATTATGCAATTTAACTTACATATTATTATGTGCTTACTTTGACCATAAGGATCAGACCGATTTACCAGAAGTTGAAATTGAAGTAAAATGAAAATCTCTAATGTAGGGACTGCTCGATTACCTGTGTCATCCCTTACTACCGTACTTAGCCATCACATAATCATTACTGGGCATCTCCTACTGCTTTACAAATTGGGCCAGGTCAGGAACTAAGCAACAATGAAGTAGAAGTGTTTCAATATTGCCTGCACAGCTGAACCTGAAAAATCAGTGCAACAGCACTGTCAGAGTGCACCATGCTTGACACTGTCCATTATCTTGGTAAAAGACAAACTAATGGCCATGACCATAGTGTAAACGCAATTAATACACTGTCCTTGATCAAACTCAAACTCCTATGCTCTATCTATTCAAGCAGTATCTCCACTAGACGGAGTGTCATAAGGTACTGACTGAGACTTCATCTCAACTTTTCCCTCTAGACTTGATGTAGATGCTGAGAGTAAACTGCAGGAAGAGACAAAAAATATCAATGTATCTCTTCACAACTTTACAAAGGTCGTAACTTTTTTGTCATGGAAATTGGGCTGTAAATATTATGTTTCTGGTAACACTCTGTTGTATTCTCCTTTAGGTTGTTACAGCATTAACAACACCAGGTGTGAAGTATATTCCATATCGGGACTCAAAACTAACACGCATATTGCAAGACTGTCTAGGTGGAAACTGCAAAACTACCATGATTGCTACAATAGCACCAACATCTGAGTGCTACATTGAGACAATCAATACACTCAAGTTTGCCAAACGGTAGGTATCTGCTCTCCTATCTGATTGCCTGCGGACCGTGTTTTATTTAGTGCTTTTGATGGGGCCGTTCTGTGTGTGCATTTATTCGTACCATGGTCTGTGGCAGTTATATAGAAAAGTTAGAATGGGTAATGTTCCCATACTGTACAACGAATGTTTTTGATTTTTGTTTGCTTTGCACTTGTTTTGATTCCGTACCTCACTTATGAGTCATGTATAATAACTTGGTTATCCCAGCCCTTCTCCTATATGCTAATCCACGTAAGTTGAGGTTTGCTTTTGCCCTATATGATGTAAACTTTTAGCCCTGCAAGCTAAACTGCCCTGCACTCAGCCAAGACAGCAGAGTGTTGTGGGTTGAGTCCCACCCAGGGCATCTCTTCTTTTTTTCATCGGAATACCTCTTATTATTCAAGAATATATCTAGTGAATGATGGCCGTAGCTGCTAGAGCAGCACACAAAGCCTCATTAAATCTATGCTTACATGTTATTTTGTGTGAGTTTCTAGGTCTGTTGACTGTCCTGAGTAAAAACTGAAAAAGAGGTTTGCTTAAACCTTCCAACTATACATTGCCATGCTTTGTTTTCTAATCGCTAAGTAGACATAAATTTCTTTACTTTTGCTTTATCGTGTGCAGGGCCAAAAACATCAGAAATATTGCACAAGTTAACGAGGACATGTCAGAAAAGGCACTAATATCTTCTTATCAGTCAGAAATCAAGAGATTAAAACTTCAGCTACAAGAAAGGTATAATACACCAGTGTTTACCTGCTTCCTTAGGGTGGTAACACTACGTATATAGGGATGGGCATGGTACTGATCATCAAAGACGGATAGAGGCAGTTTTTTCATTTTGTTTTTCGAATGCAAGTAAATTACATAACTTTTGTACGAATGCAGATATCCATAACCGGATGTTTATGGTCATACATACTTGTTCGACAATGTTTATTAGCCCCGGGCAATGTGATTGTGCAGGTAAATATGGAGCCTGCAAAATTACAGGCTTTTGCCAATCCAGAGATTCTCAAGTTATGAAGGGGACACACAGTGTGGTTCAAATTAAAAATGTTCACACTTTGGTTAGGAAGATGGGTGGCATATTTGCAACTCCACAGTGCAGCTTCACGCGAACCATTCCCCACAATAACTAGCAAACACAAGCTCTTCTGTGTCTATATACATGCAAAAACTGACAGCGCTCAGTTGCATGAGTGAACTCAGGCTTGAATGGAAATGAAACAAGACGAACTCGCTGGCGGACCTTACCTGTTTACAGCATGCACACGCTGCAAACCACGGGCCTCAGTGCTGAACACGTCTAGCATAGTTTAGACCAGAGCCAAGCAGAGAAGCGACAGGAAAAAGCGGCAGCAACCAGCATGCTGCTTTTTTAGCAACAACTCACCGTTGCTGAATAAGGATGAAAAACTCACTCATACGCATTGATACTTAGAGCTAATTAATTTTAATCGTGCAATCTGATTGGTCTAAGGACCTTAATTCATAACAACCCCAGATACCTTCACATTATAGTGTCTAGAAAAGAAGACTGTAAATCTTGTGCAGCGCAGTTGTATCCAAGTCTCCAGAGGTTTTGGAAGACACCGGTCGGGACGAGCTCAGCTAAGTCCCCTAGGTCTAGCGGGTCTGCAAAGTGCATGCTGCGTGGGGAGTCTGCTCACTATCATTATTTCCAGGATTGCCTTAACCATGTAATAATCAAACCTTTTCCCTCCCTAACTCTGCACTTGGTTTAAAGTGTCACTAGCATACATTTTGCAGATATAGAGAGTCCCACTTACTGAATGCACCAGTCACCAACACAGGCTACTCGGTAGAGTCCCCAGACACCGGAAACCTGGCAGACATGCTGGACACAGAGTTGATACACGGCACACTTATCAGAAGATACAGCAGACACACGTCTGCTGAGTCCCCTTTGTCTGCCAAGTGCATGCCTTGTGTGTAGCGCGTCTCCTGAGTCTGCTGTGTCGGAGTATGCTGACTTCCATTATGTCAAGGATCCTGTGAATGGCGTGTATCATGTACAATCTTCTAAGCCTTCTCCCTCTCTAACTCTGCACTTAGTTCAAAGGTCGCGAATGTGCATTTTGCAGATTGAAGTTAACAAGAATCACTCCCAAGGGGTTGGGTCTTAGAACAAACTAGCGCCCATTCACTAGCACACTCAGGAGACTCGGGAATACACGCAGGGGAGGACTTAGCAGACACGCTGGATGCAGGTACTCTGCAGACTGCAGTCACACAGGGGACTCAGCAGACAAGTTGTACACAGACACACTTGGCACAGGGACTCAGCAGACTCCCCTGACACAGCAGGCATACTGGACGCAGCATATAATGTTATAACACGAGAAAGCAGAGAAGACAGACAGACAGACAGACAAACAGGCAGGCATACGAACAATGGGTAGAGTATAATATTGCTTAGTAGACTGAGCAGTTGTGAACATGTGCCGTCTTATTTTGTGACGTTCGCAACTTTTTCTCCACTGTAAGTACCGCACTTTCCTGTTAGAATGTGTTAGACACTTCCGCGTAGCTACATCGAGTTCGCTGTTGACTTACTACTAGTGGCCTTTTTCACAGGAGTTGTAGGATTGTTCCGAATGGTACTAATTGATGTTATAGATCTCATTACAGCAATAATTGACATGTCATTGTCAGTGAACCACATTGCATTCGCCAACTCATCAATTAGCCACAGTTTTGGTGTATGCATAATGCGCAGTGCTGATTAGATACCAAGGGTTTGCACCTAATTAATACATAACTGGCTAGTGCTATTTGTGTGCATCATCTGAAACGTACATTAAGAGCAGTGTCTGCCCTCTGCCATACGTACATACTGACATGGAAAACATTGTCTAATGATCCCTTTTCCGTATGAGGTCACTCTGCCCAGTTGTACAACAGTTCTTCTACGTAATTATAGTGTGAACAATCTAATTCATGCACAATGCATAGGCACTGACAGAACACGCATCATTGTGAGTTATAAGTTTGGTTTGGAAATTGTTTTGACAGCCTATACCCTCAGCTCATTAAATTACCTAACCTATACCTATACTGTCGGGTAGTTATTGAAATTATTGCCAAGTAGGCACATGAGCTTGTCAACCTTCCCAGCTGAGCCATCAAACTTACTGAAAGCTACGTACATTACTTCACGGGTCCCAGTCAGTCTTCGCTGACCCATGGACACATGAGAACTTACAAACATATTATTGCTGCAAACCATGGTGTTCATGCCCGTATTATTTATTCACGGTCTGGAGAGTCATTAGCATACTCGGCTATGCATATGTGGTATTCATCTCTTTACCCCAAACCTGGTCCAATAATACCTGTAGAACACTCACATTGCAGTACACACAGTACACGCAGCATGCACTTGAGAACTATGCACGTTTTTTTAATCAGCACTTCAGATGTACATGTTCGCAACAAATTACATTCATTCGTGTCTTGTTTAGGAGCAGTGGGACTGATATTGACTATATCAAACTCTTACAAGAGCGACAAGAAGAGCAAAGAGAAAAGGTGATGCTGCACTTGCACTATGTAATTTCCTTCTATATTTTGTCACATATGCTACCGATACATGGGAATGTCAGTCAGTACATTATGTATTCCTTGCACTCTGAACTATTTATTTCCCAGAGGTGGCTCCACACACAGTCTGCATTGACTGCCTCTATGCGTATCAAATGAGGCATAATGGCCTGGGCATTAGGTTTGTACTGTAAATGGATAACAGGCAAAGTTGCAGCACGTCACTCGCTCGGTCAGTTGGTGGTGATGCTGCTAAAACAGTCCATGTGTTAGCTTTTTGTTCAATGTGCAAGAGTCACAGATACCAGTCACAAGTGTGTCTTTTAAGCATCGTGTGTGCCTGCAGATTTTTTAATGAGCAGTAGCTATGCCTAGTTAAGGTAGCTGACAGGGACTGTAGTGGGAGTATATGCAGGTCTAACATGGGTCGGTGAATTTTCTTCTGAAGTGGAGGGTGTCGAAGAAAGCCTAGAGTGTCTACTAGCAATATTCTACTTTTCCTGCTTCTGCAAATATGTATATACCTACTTGGTTCTTTTTTAGCTTTCTCACTTTCACCTAAACCCGAATATTCCTGTGAGTTCAGTAGTCTGTTATTGATTGTGCAATGCTCTTCAAACAGCACACTTCCTATAGTACAAGTAATATTATGTTTATGGTGTGGATGGTGCCTTTAATCTGCCTACATAAGTTCACATATAATTCATGTTGGGGAGGAGGGTGTATAAGAGTAAATATTTTGTTCTTGTTCACCTTCTCCTCCTCCTTTGGATTCAATACCCAGGTGTCTGTGCCTTTCAGTTTTCCCTGTCTTGTCTGCTTGCCTCTCTGGCAATACCCATTGCCAGCTTGTTACATATTTGCAGTGTTAATTACATGCCTAACTTACGTATTTCCTGACATAAAGATGCTCTTAAAGTTAAAAATTTCCCCTTAAATTCCCTTACTTCCTCTTTCTATTTTACATTACCCCATTTGCAGGAGGAGGTAAAAACAAAGTTAGAGATGCAACAAAAATTAGCCGATGAAGCACAAGCTGAGAAGACAAAATTGATTTCCAGAATAAGAGAGTTAGAAGACAAAGTAAGTATCGAAAGATTTCGTTAGTGTTGTGAAGTGAAGTTTTATGATACATTTCAATGGTTTGGTATACTATTTTCCTTTTGACCTGTGAGTAGGTGTTAAAACCTCATAAGCCTGCTCTCTTTGTAATGTATGGGGCTATGATAGGGAGTTTTGTTCATCTTCTCCTTCTCCTTCTTCTTCTTCAGATTTAACTCGCGTAACTGGAAAACGAAATAACATATAGTAATGAAATTTTGTAAGAATGTACATATCCGTCACCCGAAGAGACTGGTCATACTTATTTCTTTGTAAACAACAAATAGCCCCAGGCAATTATAATGGAATAACATGTGTCAGTATAACTCACAAATGGTAAGAGCTATGTGAACGAAACTTTGTATGCATAATGTATTCAATCACCAAAATTAAAATCACAACAATACATGTTTGTTAACAACAACAAATAGCCTCAGGCACTTTTGACTTCTTCACTCCCCAATGGTAGCACGCATAGAGATAAAACTTAGTATAATTATATGTATGCCTACTATATCATTTTCATGGCAATTACAGGTTTCCATGACGATCGCATATTGTTTGAAAAGCCTCAGGCAAATTTTTTTTTAACTACTTCACTCCTCAAACTGTAGCATGCATGGAGGTGAAAGTTGGTGCGCATGTGTTTTATATCGTTTCCATGACAACCACAACAACAAATAGCCTCATTTATAATTACTTCTTCACGCCTCAAACTCGCTAATGGTATATACTACACATTGAGATGAAACTTGGTACGCATGTGTGTAACATCATTTCCATGACAACCCCTTTGTTTAACAGCAACAAATAGCCTCAGGCAAATTTCTTAAAAATTACTTCACTTCTCAAACTCGCTAAAGGGAGCCTGCATGGAGATGAAACTTGGTACACATGTGCATTACATCATTTCCATGACAACTACATGTTTTTCTATGACGACCAGCTTCAGGCACTTCTCCTCCAACTTGCTAACGGTAGCACTCATGGAGGTGAAACTTGGTCATAATGCGTATCATATCATTTCCATGACAACCAAATATTATTTGAACAACAAGAAAATAGCCTCAGGCATTTACTTCTTCACTCCTCAAACTTGCTAGCGGCAGCACCCATGGAAATGAAACTTGATACGTATGCTTTATTACATAATTTCCATGATGACAACAGGCATTTTTCTCCATTATAGAGGACTTGCCCCCTTTCAAAGAGATAATGCGTAGTAGTACATAAAAATAGGTGGAGACAAGTGAATTTAAAATCTAAAAAAGAGGCATAATTATAGGGATGGTATAAAATAAATGGAGACAAGATAGGGATGGGACACATGAAGCATGGTTAATGAACAGATTTGAGCACACTGACACCCAAACCCCATCCTATATTGTTGCCTAGGTGAAGTATTCAACATTACACAATGGTCTACGTAGCTTGGAAATACGAAAAAGTCATGCTACTGCGTAATCAAGAGTACAAGTGGCACACCAGGCAAGAATATAGGGATTGTGTGATAGGGCTTGGGTGTCAGTGTGCTCAAATCTGCTCATTAACCATGTTTCATGTGTCCCATCCCTATCTTGTCTCCCTTTCTTTTTATACCATCCCTATATATCCTATCCTTGTACGTGAAGAGTTTATGTGGACTTTCTGTACCTGGGGGAGCGAGTAAGCGGGGAGCGAGCTGGTAGTGATGCCGCCTCCGAGGAGAAAACCCCAGCCTCTACGTCCAAAGATCAATGCTGTGTTGCTGTCAACCCATCGTTAAAGGCAAAGACGAGTCTCTGTTCTGCGGAAGAGATTGTGAGCAATGGTTCCACCGCTACTGCGCGGGGGTAAGCCCCCAAGTATTTAAGGGCTATTCAGAGAAAGGCCCTACATTCTTCTGCTTTGCTTGCTGTTTGTAAGGGTACAGGAGGGGAATATCTGCTCTAAAGGATACTGTTGATCTCCTATAACACGAAATCACCGATCTAAAATCGTCTTTGGCTACCCCACAGGTCGCTTCGCCCTCTCAGCCTGTTCCAACCACCGCTGATAATGCAAGAGAAGTTGTGGCATCTTCGCAACCAAGCGGCCCCACTGCCACCCTTCAAGCTGGCCGAAATGTCAGACACGAGCGAAAATTTAATGTCGTTCCCTATGGCATGTGTGAGTGTCCTAGCTGTACCCCAATATCGACCCGCCTCGAGGAAGATCTCACAAAGGTCATTTCGGAAGTGGATCAATCTATCAACTCTCATTCTATCAAGGACATCTACCAGCTTGGCAAATACTCTCCTGATAACAGAAAACCCCGTCCTCTCCTAGTGAAATTCATTCGAATAGCAGATGCAACCAGTATCCTATCGAAAAGAAGGTCACCTCATAGTACCCCTGTTTTCATCAAGCCTGACATGTCACCTACTGAGAGAAGATGTGAGTCCATACTTCTAAAGGAAAGGTGGTCTCTCATCCAGTCTGGTGTACCTCGTGAGGTCATCAAGATACGTTTACTTGTCAGGAACAAACTTCACGGTCGGGTCACAAAGTCTGCCGGGTCTGACCTCTCGTTCAGTTGTCACAACTCTGTGTCTGCTGAAAACAACAATCGTGTTAGCTGTGTGTTACCCATTGTGATTACTCCTTCCCACACCACAACAGCTGTCCCAATCCCAAACTGTCACTTCTCCATTGGCCCTGAATGAAAGTGATTCCTCAGCTTGTTCCCAAGCTCCACCTTATGCGCATCCTCCTCGTCTTCTCCTCCCCCCTCTACTCGCTCTTCTCCCGCTCCAGTCTCTGATCAATGACTATGAAGTGATATATACCATCTTTAAATTGTTACCTAAATTCACGCAGTCTAGTCAACAAGCTCTCCAATTTTCAGTCTTTTGTTTATTCTCATGCATTTGGTGTCATTTGTAATACAGAAACTTGGCTATCTGACTTCATCTATGACAAAGAAGTTCTCCGAGATAAGTTCACATTGTATCGAAAAGGTAGAGAGTCTCGCAGAGGTGCAGTGTGCTCATTTGCACTGTGTACATTCATCCAAACCCAAACGTTGCCTATTTTGATTTCCTAAATTCATTTTCCCAAACTGAACAATTGTCAGTGACTTCAACCTGCCTGACATTTGTTGGTCCACTCTTTCTGGTAGTACTCTTCTATCTAACCTCTTTTGTGACTTTATGTCTAACCTATCTCAGCTTATAACTTGTCCTACAACATGTTAAAGGCAACATTCTTGATTTACTTCTTACTAACAATGAATATAACACCTCATCAGCCAGCAGTATCTGAGTCAACTTCCTTTATATAACCTCTGACCTCTTCCTTATTTCCTTCTACATCGAACACCCCCCCTCCCCAACTAAGAGGTTTAAATCATCACTTGTGTTGACACCAATGCTGACAATGAACGTCTATGTGACTTCCTTTTTGAATCTGACTTCAGTTATCTGATTCTATAGAACAGGTATGGTCATTTATAAAACACAGAGGAATGAACTTGTTTATCCCAAAAGTGAGAGTAGAAGATCGGAAGTATCCAAAATGGTTCAACTCTAAGATCATTCACACAATTAAATGCCTGCGAACCCTAAGAAGAAAATGTTTGTTGTATCCCACTCACAATAATTCATCCAAACTTCTTTCTCTTGAATCTCATCTCACCTCTCTCATGAATTCAGCCAAACTGGACTTTTAAAGAACCTGTCCACGCAAAACTCTAGTAAGATTTTCAAGTATATTAAAAGCCTCTCATCAACCAGCTCTGTGCCACCTATTCTCTCTTTGGACTCCTCCACTGCCTCGAGTGACCGTGACAAAGCATGCCTGTTCAACACATTCTCTCACTCTGGATTCACCAGGAGCTCGTTCCAGATCCCTACACTGGAGAAGTTAGCAACTCCTTCATCTACTCTGTCTGATAAAGGCATTTCGGAGCTTGACGTGTTTGATGCTCTGTCCTCTCTGGATTCATCCAAAGCTGTGGGAATTGATGAAGTTGGTCATAAAATTATAAAACACTGCACACTTGCCCTCTACAAACCCATCCATCATCTCTTCTTACTAAGTCTCTCCCAGCACTCTGCCTAATGATTGGCAAACTCACCTGATTATCCCAGTTTTCAAGTCTGGAGACCAGTCATCACCCCTATCTCCCTACTTTGAAAAATATCTAAGGTCCTGGAAAAGTTGATATACAACAAAATCATTAACTTTGTGTCTGCTTCAATCTCTCCTGCTCAGTTTGGCTTTCGACCTAAGCATTCCACAACTCAACAATTGCTGATTTTTCTCAATCTTATCCAGCACTCTCTTACCTCCTCCTCCAAAGCAGATGTTTATCTCGATTTCAGGAAGGCCTTTGACAGTGTCTTTCATAATGAACTTCTTACCAAGCTCTGGTCATTTGGAAACCTATGGAAGTGGGTCCAGGCCTATCTCACCTGTCGTTCTCAGCACGTCTTACTTAATCGCTGCATTTTTGACCCTCTCCCTGTTATCTCTGGCGTCCCTCAAGGAAGTATTTTGGGTCCACTTCTGTTCTTAATCTTTGTTAATGACATCCGGCTTCTTCCATGAAACATTCTCACGTATTCCTATTTGCCGATGATACTAAATGCCTCGTACGTATCTTCCTTATCTGACTGTCACTCTCTTCAAGAAGATCTTCAACGACTTCTTGGACATTTCAATGCGTCAAAATGCGTCCTACTCAGATTCTGCTCCAAACTTCCCCCAATTCACTTTATCTACATCAATAATGGTTTACCTATCCAAGCTATTAACTGCCATCGTGATCTCGGTATTTTAATGTCTAGCGATCTGAAGTGGAGCAACCACCTGATGTTTATTTCCTCTCGAGCTTACAAGATTTTAGGCCTTATCCGGCGCTCTTTCTCCTCAGGATTGTATGTACGTATCTGCTAAAAAGAACCTGTACATCGCTAATTCATTCACAGCTCACCTATGCCTCACAGATCTGGAGGTCCCATCTCATCAGAGACATCTTGGCACTAGAACGTATCCAGCGACGTGACATTCTGAATGACTTTCACTTTGACTATAAACATCGTCTTTTGTCCCTCAATCTACTACCCCTGATGATGCAACTTGAACTCTATTATGTATTGTGCTTTATTCGCTGCCTCAAGAATCCTGACTTCAAATGCCTTTTAAATCCTCTCCTACGTCCAGTTCTCTAAAGGAATCACTCAGATCAAACACTAACTCATTCACTATCAAAGTCTGCCTCTGCTCATCATTATTTCAACCGACTTCCACCACTCTGGAACTCTCTTCCGCATATCAATCTCGACCTTTCCATTAATACCATCAAAAGTCACCTTCACCAAGTTTTCTGGACCAAGACTAACTCTTGTTTTCTCTGTTCTGACCCCTGTTCTTGCCATTATGTATGTCCATGTGCTAAGTGTTTGTGTTCGTCCATAGTTACTAGTTATTCTACCTCCTAGGACATCAGCATCTACTGGTGTACCTTCAGGTGTCATCTCTAATGCCTCCATCCTCTCCACTTTCACTGTTTTCTTTTTTTTGCTGCAGTTTTAATGTACGTATGTAAGGCATAATAATGATAATAATGATAGTAATATGCCTCTTTTTTTCTCAGGATTTTTTATTTACTTCCTTTTTTGCGTGGACAAACATGCTTGCCTTGGGCAGGAAAGCTATTGCGCGGCTACGCACTGACGTGGGCCGCGGCTAACCTCGCAGAGCCATGCTAGCTTACCTCGATACGCTTCTGGTACCCATCTCTCCCTTCGATGCACGTAAAAAGCCCTATTTGGCAGCCGTTTGTACTCCGCGCTTTGGAAACTGCTGTATGAGCCAAAGTGTTCTGTATGACGAGCATGTGTTCTGTATGATGAATACAGTACTGGCGGTGCCTTTGATCTGCCCACGCAAAAAACAATAAATGTATCTAGTAACACAAACCCAACTAAGTACAATACATTGCCACTGTTCAAACTATACCTAATAATAATTAATGTTTATGTATTTTCATGGGTTTATGCCTGCAAATTAGTGATTAACAGTAAGTAGTGCAAGTATATATACAACAAAATTTTCACCACTCACTAGTACGTATGCTACTGTAAAGATTTGCGTGTGTAAATTGTGTTGGAACTCAAAATGATGTGGTTTAATTGTATTTATGTACTTTTCTCATTATAGTTCTTTCGTGGAGGTAGTAAGGCAGTTATGGACACAGAAGAATTTAAAGAGGCAATTTTAAAGGTTTAGCACCTTTCAAAGGAAATAATTATGTGAGTGTATTATCCTGTTTATGCAAAAGGAACAACAGCGTGTCAAGCAAGAAACAGCAAGCCAATACCAAAGAAAATTTGCCGAACTAGAAAAGGAAAAGGAGAGGTATGTTAGATCGTATGTTGTAGGGCGTCAATTGATTCTCTGCATACACTTAAATTAAGGGCATCATGGCGATTTACTAATTTGAGACACCACTGCTCTTGGGCTGACTCAAAGACACATTGCACAGTTAGCTATATAATCACAGTGCACTTGTGACTGTACTAATTTTGTATTTACAAGAGAGAGGTGTGTTTTTATGTATTAATGTTAAGTGTCCACAATGCACCCTGGTATCGTCACACGAAGATTTGCTTATCCGTGATGTTCACTGACAAACAGCTTTACCGATACGTCACGCATTCGATGAAGTATGTATGACCGTTTGTTTTGGCAAGCAATACTTTTCCCGCAAACAAAAGCTACAAGAATCGTAGAGAATATACAAGTAAATAATCCTGCGAATATAAGGTATGAAAAGGAAGGGAGACAAGATAAGGATGGGATACACGATGCATGGTTTATGAACAGATGAGCATGCTGACACTCCTGATACATTGTTGCCTGGTGTGCTACTCTTAAACCCAACACTGTTAGTACTAAAACATTGCTGTGACTTGGATTTTCAAACTCCTGCTGGAGGCATAATAGTGAATGTTTAATACTTCACCTAAGCAACAATTTAGGGATTGTGTGATGGGGCCGGCGGTGTCAGCGTGCTCACATCTTTTCATAAACTGTGCTACATGTATCTCATCCCTATCTTGTCTCCCTTACTTTTTACAATCCATATAATTCCTCCTTTTTGAAATTCGCAGGATTTTTAATTTACTTGTATACGTATGTATGTCATACGAATTGGACATATCGTAACATTCTACAAGTAAATAAAAAAGTGTTCGTTTAAAAAAGTGTGGAATATAGGGCTGCCATAAAAAGCAAGGAGACAAAACAGGGATGATGGTTGCTCATCGTTTGTTGAGCAAACATGGAATTCTTAGACTCATCGTTTGTTGAGCAAACATGGAGTTACAACCAAAAACCGAGTAGCTGTCAGAGAGAGCTACACCTGAGCATTACACACTTAGGAAATGAGTCATTCAATGAGTGAGCACAGTCATGCTTTGTGAAAATATAGGGCTTGTCTGGAGGAAAATTTACGCGAGCAAAATCAATGTCAGTTTGAACCATCCATCCATTCTACTACTGCATCACATGCACTACGTCATCCCTGTCTTTTCTCCTTGATTTTTATGGCATCCCTATATTTTCATACTTTTTTTAATTTTATTTGTCTCCTTTCCTTTTTACTGCATCGTATGCAATACACAATTTTTGGGAGCATACCCTTAAGGGCCTAAGGGTGCGGGTTTGTCATCATTCACATTCATTCCAAGTGTACTAAGTTTCATTGTTCGCAAGGTTTTACTGCCCGAGGTTGTTTGTTGTTGTTTACAAACTTGTAATTTCTGTTTTGATGAACTCTGATCATGGTACACCAATGTAATGCACCAAGTCTCATTGTTGGAGGACCCACCATAAGTAATAGGCACAAACACAGTTTATTCCTGGGGCTGTTTGTTTTTGTTTACAAACTTGTAATTTTTGTTTTGATGAACTTTTATTATGGTACATCACGTACCAAGTTCCATCTTTAGAGGACCCACCATAAGCAAGTTATAGGCACAAACACAGTTGACGCATGAGGCTGTTTGTTGTTTACAAACTTGTAATTTTTGTTTTGATGATGGTACATCAGCGTACCAAGTTCCATCTTTAGAGGACCCACCATAAGCAAGTTATAGGCACAAACACAGTTGACGCATGAGGCTGTTTGTTGTTGTTTACAAACTTGTAATTTCTGTTTCGATCAACTCTTACAATGGTACGTAGATCAGTATATGTACCATGTGTAATTTGTTAGTGGACCCACCATGAGCAAGTTATAGGCACAAACACCGTTTACACATTTTTTATTGCCTTAGGCTGTTCGTTGTTGTTGTTTACAACCTGTAATGTTTACATTTTGATACTAATGATGGAGTGCACATGTATACAAAGTTTTATCATTCAAGGTATTGGCATTAACTACTTATCGCACTATATTATTTGTCTATATCATAATATATGGCCTAGCGCTATTTTATATAAACAACATTGTTACGACGTTGCACACCGGGTAATTTTACAAAGTTTCGTCTCTATACCTATCACATACACTTGTTGAAACTGAACATGACAACAACAACGACAATGACAACAGGAAGAATTCTGAAAGTGGACTTTCTTGAATAAATCGAAGACCATCCGATTTAAGTCATTTTTAGGCACAGGTGTATTTTTACCATGGATAAGATTGATGTGTCAGAAGTCAGATCTGATTGAAAATGGAAGTCAAATATGTATGGACATAATGCTGACCCATGTCATCCCTCTACACTAAGTATACTACCGTAGTTGGTGATAATGTATGTTAAAAAAATTAAAATGCTCGCCATTCTACATCCTTACTAAGTCACACGTGGAAAATTGTCTAACAAGCAACAGATATGCAGTAGTGGGCAATGCCTGACGTTATGCATGGTGTACACACCTGTGTGTGCTAGCAATGGCGAAAGTTCTACTGCAAAAGTTACAGTTATGTCTATACCCTACAGCAATATGTTCGTTAGTAGCCCAGAAGCCATAATATGAAAAGTTCTGCCTGTAGTACATTAGCAGACCCGCAACTGCACTGTCAATTCCGCTGTATATTTCTTGTACACAGTGCACACTCATAAAACTTGTATGACTGGCTACTGTGCCTGGCTACAAATGGGTTAACCAATGGTGGAGAAGGTACTGGGAAATACCCTCGGTGCTTATCACTACCGCCATCGGGCTGCACCCTTATGCGGTACTGATAAGCACCTGGGGTATAATATTCAGTATCCTCTAAAGCCATGAGGCTGTTTGTTGTTCTTTATCAACTTGTAATTTGTTTTTATCAACTCTTATCATGGTACGTACATCATATGATAGGCGGGTGTGATTGCTTGTGCGACTTACTGTATACACTGTGAATGCTCTTTTCGCAAACTGAATATAATTATGCAATCCACTTATGTTTAGACTGAGTGTGAGAAGCTAGACTTTCAGAAAAGATTTGAAAGCCCTACAAAAAACAAGTAAGTTTTGTGTATGGTAATTGAATCAGGCAGTTTTTGCTCTATGGTAGGCTACGTACCTGTATGGCAGGAAACTCACAATGCCAATGAATCATGACAACTTTATTAGCTATAATGATTAAGCAACCCACACACACTTACAATGGGACCTCCGATAACGCGAAACTTGGGACAGCTATTTTTCATTATTTGAGAAATGGTACTGGAAATTCTGCAAGGACATAATGATCGGTCATAAGAAGTACATTAGCCCACCCCAGAAGTCACGCGACAACACAGAACAGGAATGGATGTATGAAACACGGTTTACAATAGATTTTGAGCACTCTAACAACGACCTGATTTGACTACTGTAACGGCTTGTTGTTTACAATGATCACTTTTTCATATAAACAACATTTTTGTGTGTCGCTCTTCAATAGGTCCTGCTGAAACACATAATGGTGAATGTTTAATACGTCACCTAGCCAACAGCATGTCCAAACACACCAATTCACAGACACAGAATTACGTATAAACCTCAGGGCGCATACGAAGCCAGGGTGCTGGTGCGGGTACGTTATGGTTTTGTAAAGTCCGTCCATCTGTCCGTCGTCCGCACTTCTATATTGCCTCTCGCGCTATGACATGCAAAAGTAACAGGTAATTTAAAATCCTTGCGGATTTAAAGAAAGAGGCAGATAGGGATGGGCATGGTACCTAGCATCATAGATGTATGGGGCTATGATAGGGAGTTTTGTTCATCTTCTTCTTTTTCTTCTCCTTCTCCTTCTTCTTCAGATTCAACACCCATAACTCAAAAACGAAACAACATAAAGTAATGAAACTTTGTAACAATGTAGATATCCGTCACCCGAAGAGACTGGTCATACTTATTTCTTTGTAAACAAAATTTTTTACTTTAAGCAACAACAAATAGCCTCAGGCAATACATTATAAAGGGATCACATGTGTCAGTATAACTCACAAATGGTAGGAGCTATGTGAACGAAACTGTAGACATAATGTACTCAATCACCAACATCAAAATTACAACAATACATGTTTGTAAACAACAACAAATAGCCTCAGGCACTTTACTTTAAAATTACTTCTTCACTCCTCAAACTCTCCAATGGTAGCACACATAGAGATGAAACTTGGTAAGTATGCCTATTATATAATTTCTATGACCATTACATGTTTCCATGACGACCGCATTTTGTTTGAAAAAGCCTCAGGCAATTATCTTTAAAACCACTTCTTCACTCTTCAAACTTGCTAATTGTAGCACGCATGGAGGTGAAACTTGGTGCGCATATGTATTGCGTTTCCATGACGACCACAATGACTAATAGCCTTAGGCACTTTTTTAAAATTACTTCTTCACTCCTCAAAACTCGCTAAAGGTACCACGCATGGAGATGAAACTTGGTACGCATTTACGCATTGTGTGTAACATCGTTTCCATGACGACCACAACAACAAATAGCCTCAGGCACTTTTCTTTAAAATTACTTCTTCACTCAGCAAACTTGCTGACTGTAGCGCACATGGAGGAACTTAGTACGCATGCGTGTAACATCATTTCCATGACGACCACAACAACTAATAGCCTCAGGCACTTTTCTTTAAAATTACTTCTTCACTCCTCAAACTCGCTAACGGTACCACGCATGGAGATAAAACTTGGTACGCATGTGCGTAACATAATTTCCATGACAACCACTTTATTTGAACAACAACAAATAGCCTCAGGACTCAAAATTGCTAACGGTGCCACACATGGAGATGAAACTTGGCACACATGTGTATTACATCATTTCCATGACGACTGCAGATTATTGAAACAACAAATAGCCTCAGGCAGTTTTCTTTTATTCTAGTAGCATGCATTGAGATTAAACTTGGACACTTGGTACAAAATGCGTATTACTCAGCATATTTGTAAACAACAACAAACGGCCTCAGGTACTTTTTCTTTCTTTACGCGCACGCCGCAACGTATACACTAATATTGCGCATGCGCGCACGGAAGGGGCGCCAGACGGTCTACCTACGCAACCGAAGCAGCCGCTCGCTCACTTGCGAGATAGAGCAGCAGAGAGCTGTTGTTCGTTGTGGCAAGTTCATCCTTCCGAAGCCAAAAAGCTCTTGGGGCGTTGTTTTAGACTGGTCTGGAACATCGACAGGAGACTGGGCTTCAACAAAGTCAGTCCAAATACAAGACCGGCTTACTTCTTGGGCGGGTTGTATTACCGTGCAATTCGACCGTGGAGCGAGCTTGTCTTATTACAGACTGTACATATTTCTGAGTAGCTGCATTTTAACGTGCTTGATAGAGGTCTGTTCCATTCGCGGACTAGCTATTCTTATAGCTCCTGCACGTGTTTGGCTATGGAACGCCGTTATGGACAAAAATTCGAACGCTCATTGGCCACTCCTCGATCCTCGTGATGGTACCTCGACCCCCGGTCTACATTCCTCGACCCTACTCGATCAGCGTTCCTCGATCCTCGATCTATGCTCCTCGATCCTCGATCAGCGTTCCTCGATCCTCGATCTACACTCCTCGATCTTCGATCAGCGTTCCTCGATCCTCGATCTACACTCTTCGATCCTCGATCTACGCTCCTCGATCCTCGATCAGCGTTCCTCGATCCTCGATCTACACTCCTCGATCCTCGATAAACGCTCCTCGATCCTCGATCTACATTCCTCTATCCTCTATAAACGCTCCTCTATCCTCGTCATCGTATATACCTTGATCCTCGGTCTACACTCCTCGATCCTCGATCCTCGTCACCTCGATCCTCGGTCAGATCCCCGATCCATCCCCTGCGTCTCTCGATCTTCGACCACCCACCCGCGCGCCGCCGTAAACCCATCTCGACCACGCCCCTTGAGGATTAGTATTATATTATACGTTGATCGCATTCAGAGAAAAAATAGGTTTGTTAAAAATTACATCATGATTGACCGTGTGAACTCTTTCACTGCACAGAAAACATCAACACTATCACATTCACTAGATATGTCCAATGGGTTGGAGGTACGACATAGCTGGGCATAATCGTCATCAGAAAGTGGATTGTGTGTGAGAGGGACCTCAACAGAATGAGACTCCAGAGGGACAACTTCATCCCAGTCAATCCCATACTGCTGTGCCTCATCCTATTAAAATGCATAGCATTACAAACCATTGCATGCAATGTTGACCATGATTGAGCTTACATACCTCAGACAGACAGCAGTCCTCTTGAGACCCACTATCCATTCTTGCCATTGAACCGGTAATCCACAACTGCAGTGGAGTTCTATTGTTTTCAGTGCATATCTTGTGATGACACCAACCCTCACTAAAGCAACGCAGTGACTGGTTGATCAAAGGAATATATACGTAATGCAGTGCAAACAAATCAGTGGAGCTATCCACATCCAAAAGACCAACTTCCTCTAGGTGACGGAATAGCGTGTAGAAATAGTATACACAACCTGTGAAGAGGTCTCTCCAAAAACGCTCAATCGTTTGATTGTGCACACTCTTTCACCCTCACGCAAAGATGGAAAATTTTCTAAGATGATGCCCCTGAAATGGCTGTTACTGAGTGTGTTCATATCAGGTACTGTGATCTTCTTAAGACCTAGTCCTGTATGAAAGAGCTTATCTAGCTCTTCCTCAGTAACCGGGACATGATCTTGATTGCAATAAGCAAGACAATAGAATTGCTTTGTCCAGGGAGGACGAGCTTTTTTCTTTCTTTTAGAGTACTTCGAACTTCTATCCCCATACCCAAAAAGCTCTTTCTGCTCAGCAGCAATAGCTGTACTTTGAAATCCTTCACGTGCTCGTTTTAGGGCCTCCCTTGCTGATTTAAGTGCTCTCTCAAAACGATCTAAAAAAGGCAACACTACCAGTAAATGCCCTTCAATAATGCCCTTAACCCCTATTATACTCACTTGAAGCCTCAAAAAATTAAATATGCGCCACATACATCTAAACAGTATGGAGCAGCCTATCTGTGCACATCATCATTCATCACACAATGTACACTTACCTACTTTATTCCCACTACCGGACAAGGGACTTGGTCCTGGCAACTCGTTGTCAATGCTCCCTAATACGGTGTTGAAGCTGTTCACTGTCTCCCTTAATTTTCTTACTTCATCTACACCTAGTTTTAGGGTAATTGGCGTAGCCTCAGCACTCGCAGCCTCGGCTTCGGGGCTGCTGCTGCTGCGTCTGCGGCCCCAGCGCCTTTCTGCCATTGCAAGCATGTATGCAGCTCTGACTGCGCATGCGCAAAAACGTTCGCCAAGACCGATGATCGAAGATCGAGGATTGAGGAATCTAGCACCGAGGATCAAGGAACGTTATATACGACTATGGACCTGACCAAGGATCGAGGAGTGTAGACCGAGGACCGAGGAGCACTGATCGAGGATCGAGGAGTTAGATCGAGGATCGAGGAGTGTAGATCGAGGAGTAGATCGAGGATCGAGGAGTGTAGATCGAGGATATCGATGACGCTGCTCAAGATAAAGTTATCGAATTTTTTTCCATAACGGCGTTCCACATTTGCCAAGATGCCGTTGACGAATAAGAAAAGGAAAGCTTACCAGAGAGCTTAATGAAAAGCACTAAAGTGCAAACCCTCGGCGAACTGCGCATGCGCGGTACCGCTAATTGATGGGCTTGGCCTATTATACTAGTATACGTTTACTCCCGCTTAGCTCGCGGAGAGTCTGAAACGGGCTAGCTACAGTAGTAGATAGCATGCGGGAGTCGATACACGCCCTTCGTTGTGACTTCTTGTGCCTCCGAGGTACACAGAGCAAGCAGATCAGGTAGTTCTAATTATCATATTGGCTTGTTCACTTGGTTTTCACGCCATAACTTCTGAACGCGGCACTTTTATGAAAATCGCCATTTTTAAAATCAAGCCAGTGTAGCACTGAACCCGTTGGTGTCGCTATTTTACCTGTTTGTTGCGCGTGGTGGCAGAAAACTTGGTAACAGACGGACAGACAGACAGACGGACAAACCAAGTACTATAACCCTCGCTGCGCATGCGCGCCGAGGGTTAACAAGGAAAAGGCCTCA